CATTCAACCTTACAACACGTCATGGCAAACCCACCCATGTCCCAAATAATAAAGAAACAAGCTTCCATCTCTAAACGGCGTGCTTATGCAATGCATTTGGAAGTCGCAAACATCAACATCAAGAAATGTGGTGCTGCACATGAAGAATGCTCTTCTTCTCATGTGGCTGCTATCAAATATTGGTCATGTTGTCAGACCACTGTAAACACCATTCCATGGAGAAAAGCGAAGGAGACTGCAGTTGAAATTTAGGGGCTACCCACATCAGTGATTTATATGGCAGGATTATCCACTGCCATTTATGATATCCTGTAACAATAATATCTTGAAGATGCTATACATAGCAAATGTGACTAGCCTCTTAATTCACTAGTGGTGATGAAACACTATCCTCTACCTGGCTGAAAAGGAAGCTTAAAAGGCAGAGTACAATCACACAGTTTTACCATCAAAATCTAGTTATCATATGATGTTCCCAGCATCAAATTGTCTTAGGCGGCTCCCTCAGTTTTCTGTTGATCGAGATGGGCCCTTGAATGGAATGAAATCAGAACGCCACCATTTTCCTATTTTAATTGATGATCTTACTACAAAGTTGGCAGGAAATGCCTTGCTATCACGTTTCCTACAACCTTATATTGTTGCTGTTCATTTACCCTGCTATAGGTTGATTACAATATACAGGTAGTCTTTGACTTATGACTGGTTGCTTTCAAAGTTATGACAGACCCTTGAAAAAGTGCCTTATGACCCATATTTGAACTACTGACATATATTCCTACGTATCACGTGATCGCATTTTGGGTGCTTGACAACCAGCCTGCATTCATGGTCATTTGCATCCTATGGCCACATGACTGCAATTTATGGGTTTTTTTTTGCCATTAATTGACATTTACTTCCAGTTTCCAACAAAAAACACTCCACAGCAAACCATTGATTTGTTTAACGACTGCTGCATTTGCTTAACACTACTGCAGTGTTGACCTGCCTTACCGCCATCTTGACTTATGAATAGTCACAAGTCACGGACTCCCTGAATTGCTGTTGAAGTGTGGCTATCCAAAATGGTAGGACTTTAAGAAGTGAAATCTGGCTAGTGATAATCATTTTTTACTTTCTGAACACCTCTCTGACCCATTAGGATTTTGTACACAAGCTTAAAGGTTGTAACAGAATGGGGAACCTCATGGCTCTAGAAATTGAATTACAAATTTAAGCAACTTCAATTACCGTGGCCAGTTGTGAGAAGCATTAAGTCGAGATTTACCTCTGGAGACCCAAGGGATCCCAACCCTACTTTCACAAAAACCTCTTGTATTTATGGTACATCACCTTTCTATAATTTATAACTTTGGTTCATTTGTCCCCTTTTCTTACTCTCTCCACTCACATTTCTCTTGTGAGACAATTTGCCATGCCTCTGACCACATTCCCAAAGCTTAGGGCACCAAAATGGCATTTGGATTTAAGATACCACAATACCCCATGTTATTTTCACTGCAAGACATGAAAGTATCTATCCCTTTTAGCCTTCCTTTCTTCCATCCACATAGCAATAGATTTAAAAAAAAGTAGTAAAATTAAAAGCAGCAGACATTGGAATAATAATTTTAAAAAAGCTGAAAACTGGTAAGTGTTGCCCATGTCACATTATCAGAATTACATGCATAGTTGCCATGGCGACTGTGTTTCTGGAACATTGAGCAGCACTATTTTATTTGTATTTTGCAAAGCCAGGATTGCCATCACAAATCCACCGGCTCGTGCAGTTGTACGACTCTCCTTTTGTGGTTTTGGATTTCAGCTACTACTCAGAATTTATTAAGAGCTAAAATCTAGGTTAGATTTTCTTTATTAGAAGCTTAATTTTATACCCTGAGGAAGCAACCTGCTGTGAGAGGACAGACAGAAATCTAGACAGTAATGAAGCCAAGTGGACATAGGGACAATAAATCATTTGAAACCACGTGAGTGTTAAGACTCTGAAAAATGTAACAGCCCTGAACTTTCTCATATTATAAAACGGCAGATTGCTTGCGAAGGCTAACCCATATTTTATCATTTTATATGTGGAAGGCTGAACTCAATATAAATATATAGTTCTAGCATACATAACTTTTTTTTTAAAAAAAGAACACTTTAATTTCTGAAGTAAATGCTGCATCGCTGAATCTAAAATGGAGTTGTATTTGACTCTTGCTGTAAGTAGCATTGCAAAATCAAATTTAGATTGGCAAAATTAGCAGATTAGCATTTGCAAAAGCAAATGTGGGAAGAATGCAAACTACAGATCTGAGTAATTTACCAATAAAAAATTGGTAAAAATCTACTGTAAAAAATAAAGTAGGTATTCAAGATAATTCTTAGTTCAATTCTGGTAGCCCTGCAAATCTTAATTTTATTTATGCATTTTTTTGTCCCATTGATAGATTTCCAGATCTCAGGGCAATATTAGAAAGTAGATTCAGCAAATCTGAAACAGGTCTAATTGAAATCAGAATCTATCCAGGTTGATGAAGCTATAAAAAGTTTGGTAAAGAAAACAGCGAAATGGCAGTACTAGTTCTTTTGTCATCAAGATCACATCTTAGGATGAAATTGTTCTCATTTATCTTTTAAATTTGTCCTTTGTAGTATTTATTTCTGGGGGCTTAACTGCTTATGCCTCCTCCAATAAACAATTTACTATTATGCAAGAGTGAATATTATTTAACGATGGGATCAGTTTAGTTATTACTGAATAAAGCTAATTGCAGAAAAGGCACACTCTAGAATTTGGAATTAATATCCAAAATTTAAAACATCTTTCATATTCTTGAAATGCAGAAACAGTGTTGTAAAAATGCCTCTTGAATTTCCAACCCCCCGTTTACCTGCATTCAGAGAATCTATGTTGTGGTTTCTATGGTTTCTCTTATATGAGTTTAACCACTGGATTTGTAAAGCATGGTTTTATCGTGAAGCCACTGTTACAGCTTAGACAAGAAACCGCGGTTATGCTAAATAGCATCCTGATGAGGCCAGCGCTTATGTGGAAGTGCAGTTTCAGTGTTTCCATGCATTATATTTCGTGAAAATCAGCTTCAAATCTGCAGCTATGTTTCTGTGGCATACTTATACTCCTAGGAGCAGATATTTCTGTATTCACACAAATTCCTCATCCATAGGGATTCCCTACAGAGTTTTACTATCAAAAAAGCAGGGTGCCTCATAGTCCACCCTAGTCTCCAAAATAATTCTCTATTCTATAAAAGCTGTTCTTAAAGGAGGGCCAGAGCAGGGGTGTCAAATTTGCGTGGCTAGCGTCATGTGCTGGGATTGGCTGTTTCAGCCAGAAATGCCTTTTCGGCTTGCAAAAACTACAGCCAGTTCAAACGGTGGATGGGATGTTAGGGTGAAATCAATGCCGGCTATTCTGAAAACTATGGTGGAAGTATTTTTAAGTAATATAACCATATTTTATTTTAAAGGTTCAGAACATCCATTCTGTATCAAACATTTTTTATATAGCCTGCAATATTGATAGGTGAGAAGAAATAAAACAGATAGAATGAAGCTACTTAGATAACCTAAAGATAACTTACCTGTCATGTACTCCAAAAGGTGACTTCATGTTTTAGGCAGTAGAAAGAATTTATCCCTTTCAATTCTCATTCCCTTTAGCTTTCTGAAACATTTTGTTTTGTTTTAAGTTTATTTTTATGTAACACAGACAATAGGTGTCCTAGAAACTTTAGTACTACTTTGGCTATGAAACTGATTTAAAAAGAACATTTAGTCTGATCCAAACTTCTTCAGAACTTTGGTGAAGTGTTCTATGAATACTAAACGGAACAAAGCAATTATGCTCATCCTGAAATAAAAGTAATAAAATCAAAACCTCTCGATATCAGAAATGGAAAATATTTTTAGTATATGTATCAATGTTTTTCAGAGCCTTGGAACCCATTCTTCGTAAGTGGTTCAAATTTGATTAGGAATCTTTGGAAAATTATTTATTAATCATTTTTCTTTAATCAATACTGTATACTGGCCCCTTTACTTTCTTATAATTTAACATTTATTTTAAAAAAGCAATACTGGTACTGGATAAGACTCTTGGGGGAGTTACAATAAAAGTCACCTAACAAAACATTTTTCCTAGTTTCACAATGAATTTAATTCGGTTCAGTTGAAAGTCAATCCTTAGTCTTTCACTTGAATAGGGAAGTATTGAAAGGGGAAGTATTTCTTTCAACAGACCATTTCTATTATTTTTGTTTTAAAATGACGATTTTCAATTTTATCTTCAGAAGTCAAATACAGGTCATCCTCGACTTACAAGTTCTTTTAGTGACTGTTCAAATTTACAAAGGCACTGAAAAAAGTGACTTAAGACAATTTTATACACTAATGAAAACTGCAGCGTCCCCATGGTCATGAGATCAAAATTCAGATGCTTATTTATATTCATATTTATGACTGTTGTGGTGTCCCAGGGTCATGTGATTGTCAATGGGGTAGAGAACCTTGTTACTAATTTAACAACTACAGTGATTCACTTAACAACTGTGACAAGAAAGGTCGCAAAATGGGGCAAATCTCACTTAAGAAATGTCTCACTTAGCAATAAGATTTTGGGCTCAATTGTGATTGCAAGTCAAGGACTACCTGTACCTGTAGCTGGTGGTATCTCTTGAATCTTGACTCTTAGCCATGCAGACTTAGAAAGTTCATTAGAATTACAAGGACTCTGATGATTAAGCGGGATATGGTTTATCAAATTGTTTCAAGATTGTGATGCATTCAATGAATAAGACCTCCTTCAATTCAATCTATATCCCATGTCGTAGACTATTAGGATCACCAAAATGATAACAAACAAAGCATATATGCCCTTAATTATTTCTTCATATATGGGTTTCTTTTGTAAAATAATACCGCAAAAGTTGAACCATAGCTAGCTTTCTGAAATGTAGATGTTTGTAGAAGTGATGTAAATATGTATTTGATTACAGTATTTGGAGAAAAATCGGGATATCCATGAAGACTCTTTCATGATCATCTGGCCACTGGTCACTTCTGGAGATAATCAATAAGGTACTTGCATCTGCATTGAAAGAAATATGTCTTCTTTGTGAATAGCAGCAGTTTTTAAAGTGTCAGATAAAATACGTAGGATGCAATTAATAGCAGAGACTATATTCTGAAATTAAAGTATATTTGCTCATGTCCTCAAGACATTTGCAAACTTCATTTAGGTAAGTTCCACAAAATAAGTGAATTAAAGGATAATATTAAGCTTTCACTAGAAGTAATGTAGGTTGAAGTTGAACCGTTTAAAATACTGTGCCCAGTGGACTTCTTTGGGGGAGAAACTAGAAGAAAACATATATTTTCAAGTTTTAATGGGCATGTGGATATGGTATTTAATTAATTGACACCAATATTAGAATGTGGATACAACATGCAAATATGGAGGGCCAACGAATCTCAGATTTAAATATTTAACTCAGCATTAGTTTTTGGTTATTTAATATTACAATATACACCCCATTTTAATATCAGGGATGTGCACCCCCTCCCAGCTTAGTGTTGTGCAAATATGGCCCCCTTCCGGAAGAGAACATCACAGTGAGATTTTTTGTGTGATTTAATCATAATATTGACAATTTTATCAAATTTTACAAAACTGGTATTTTTTTTTTTTAAAAAAACTAACTCTTAATAAGACTAGAATGGGGTTCTTTTAAAATAGAAAAGCATTATTATGCTACTGCTCTTCTGGAATATTCATATTAAAAACCCTATGTAGCAAAATACAAACTGTAGCTAATAAAAGGTAATTCAGTCCACCATGATACTTTATACTGTTAAATTCTGGGAATTCACAAATAATATTGCGTTATTAGCATGTTGTCTGCACAATGGCATTGGTCAATTTAAATATGAAGACTAAAACAAAACTCCAAACTTAAGATTGTGGCCATAACTGCTATGGGACATATATTAATTTCCACCCTTTCGATATGATTTTCAGAACTAATGCCAGCAACACTTGCTAGCCTAAATAATTGGCTAGAGGAATTAAAACTTCTTCATAAACAGAAATGGTGTTCATAAATCTCCATGATAGAAAGAATAATTTCTTTGATTTTATATAATTTTTATCACAATTGACCAAGAATAAATAAATAAATAGACACATGAGGATAGTTACCACTTTATATCCTCAAAACACCACACAAACATCCACTAATTGAGCTAATGAGAGGCTAGTCATCTTATGGGGCCCAATTTCACTGGTTCTGCTTCTCATTTCTGTCATCGTGCCAAGTTACAGAATCAGTTCTTCTACCTTTGCAAATGAAGATATTTCCCCCCCCCTTTCTCTAAATATAGGAGCTTATTATTATAAATTAGAAAGGTGGCAAAACATTTTAAATGTTAAAATCTTCTGTTAGAAAAATATAGATTTGTTAAACAATAACAACAACAAAAACATAGGGTTGGGCCTTGAGTTTGTTTGTTTGTTTGTTTTTTAAAAAAGAAGTCATTTATGCATTAATGCAAAGAGAAAGAAATGGCTCTATGGGCAAATTCAAGTACGAGCGACCAGCTTTTTAATTGTAAAGTATGTGCAACATTTTTAAAAATGTTACAACACTGCATGACCTGTAATGCTCACAATATTTACATCAACTGCTTACATAAAACCATAAAAACTCTAAAAAGGAGGGAAAAATCTGTATGGACTGAAACAAACTATTCCTAGCACCCACATCAATGCCAATATTAACCAATGAAATCGAGTGCACAAAAATACTTTACATAGTCTACTAATGTAAAGTATACATTGGTGAGAAAAGAGTACAAACCTAATTAGTTAAAAATGTCAAAAGAAGGGTTGGTCAATACAAATTCAGTTTTAGGGACAAAAAAAAATCTTTAAAAAACTACTAAATATAAACACACATCCACCCATACACACACCCATGAGTATTCATGAATAGAAACATCTGTTTAGACACAAGCAGAAAGCCGGCTGGTACGAAAAATGGACAACATTAACTCTTTAAACATAACAAACACATCAACTTGTAACAAAAAAAATAAAAGAGTGCTAACTGATCTACACAAAGTATCATTTCAAATGAGCTTTCATGTAGGATTGTGGAGACTACCCTGCCATCACATAGAAGACACAATGAACCTACCCATCAGGTAGAAGGTGGAAGGATTCCTGTCTCCAGGTCACTGTAGCTTAGTGTGGTTAATTGCATTCCCTCAGACTGGGGTGTGGACAAAGGAATAAGAGCTGTCCAGATGAGAGTAGGTGATCTAGCCCCATGCTAGAGTTATGTGCATTGGGAAGGAGAGCTGACTGGGATAAGCTGTTATCCTCTGGGACTCATTTCACATGGAAAGTGGAGTGGGGCCCAGAGAACATGAACTTAGGCAGGTGATAAGTCCTCTTCATATAAGCACTACATTTTGGTTATAGACTTATTGTCATCAGCCTTGGATACCGCTGATTACCAGTAATCTTTGCTAGGAGAGGTAACTAGGCCATTTTAAGGAATGACGTTCCAGGATGAGATACAACGTGGCTCCTAGATGAAGAGGTAGCAGGTAGTCCTCAGGAGACTCCATCTTGGGCCTAGGCATAGTGAATTAGGATACTTGGAAAAGGGGGGAAGGCCACTGCCATTATATGCAGCACCCATATTAAAAATGACACTGCATTATAATTTCTTTCAAAGGTACACAATGGGTATTTTGAGAAACCTCACAGCTTCAGGTTCATGTATCTGTAGTGTACTATCATATTCTAACATATATGCTTCACATTTCTTTCAAACTTAACATAACATAAATAATCTGGTTAATAGATTCAACCTGCACATTTCTGCCACATTAATATAAATATATATAAAGATATATTTATATATTTATATATACGAATCTGTTAATGGTATAAATAATTCTTATTAAATAAAATAAATCTGATATGTTACATAATACTGATAAAATCACTGGCTGGGATCCAAAGAACTACATTAGGTCCATCCAAAGACTTGGATATGTATCAACTGGACTTTAACTAATTGCTACCTTTCTCAAACAAGAACTCCACCGTATTGGAAAGAATTGTTTTGAAAGTTGCCAATGGTTCAAGAACGCTGGTAATCTCCAAACTGGGAAAAAGGAGATTTTGTTCAAAAGATACTTTGAAAAATCTTATAGGTGCACTGAACTAGCTGTGGAGTCCTTTGGATCCTGGCCACTGCCGCTAATAGTTTAGCAAGTCACCTTTAACTTTAGTATTAATAAGGAAAATGCTGTTGGTATTGGCAGGCAGGGGAATTCAGTAACTGCTTACGCTCATCTAGTCCACTGAATACAGAAAAAATATCCAAGGACAACTGGTCACTGAATCCCTTTGTTAATTTAGGAACACGTTTTTGCTAAATTGTAATCTTACTGCTAACAATTAGCAACAACAATGAATCCTTTAATTGGGCTATTGCTCTCATACTTTAATAGAAATTGTGTTCTTTGCTTAAATAAATTGGAATAGCTACTTTAGGCTTTGTTAAAAGTTTTGGAAAAAAAAGGAAGTAAAAATGAATGCTGATATGTTTCTGATTTCAAAGCGGGTAGCTAGGAAATTCTGTTAAAGCTGACTCAAATAGTCTATCTAAATATTTTTAATTAAAAAAATCTACAATACTATAATTTAAAACTCAATTTTTAAAATAACACACAACCGGTAGTTGCAGCTATTGATATCTTAATTTGACCTATGATCCCACATCCCATTAGGAATCTGCAAGGTTTCACTCTCCTACAGGGACCCAAAATGGAGTACAGTACTTCCAGGCCAGGTTCATTCCAAACAGACACTATAAATGAACACTCAGTGGCAAAAAGTGTTATGTCATAATTAGGGGATTACATAATCATGCCTTTTCACTGCTGTTAAATACAAAAACAGCATTTTTTTACATTATTATATAAAAGCATTTAGGCTGTATTTTTATTTATCACTTTACATTGGTAGTCTCTTGTATGTGTACTCAATAGAAACCAAAGAATTTTGTACACTATTCTTTTGTACAATAAAAGATAAAGTGTGCATTAGGTATGCTTGTACATGACAATAGTACACTATTTACATTTCAGATATCGTCATGAAATTCTGTTTTATCTATGTACATAATGAAAATTTTGCAGAAACATTTGGACTATAATTTTATAATCACAATTTTAGTATTATAGAAAAAAAGGATTTATAGACACTCTTCAATCTTTAGAAGATCTGGATTTACTTCTCCCTCTTTATCAATAAGAATACTGTACCACTGTTTTGTTTAGCACCTTGTGGTGATTATATATATATACATATATATCTATATATATGAAAATTATGTGCATGTTATGTAAGAGCCAGATCAGTAACAAAGACATTCAATGTTATCTAGAGATCTTCCTCCTCTTGGGTTTTGGAGGCTTCAGCTGTCTGTCTCCCTGTGGAATCTGATGCACCTAGAGAAAACAAAAAGGAAGACTTTAAGGATTAACAGTAATTGCATCGCACTCGTGTCGAAAGCACCAAGTTGCTTCCAGGTTGGAAGGATTAGCTGGCTATCACCATTGCCTGTGGGGTGCCCAGTTGGGGCCTCCTTTCATATACCCATTAACGTGCCTACTGAAGGGGTACTTATCTATCATCTTATGAACGCACACTTTCAAACTGCTAGGTCAGCAGGATCTGCAGCGATTGATAGGAGCTCATCCTGTCCCATTGCAGCAACTGGGTCTCAAACACGGGCTTCCTGCTTGTCAACCCAGCATCCTAACCAGGCAAGCAACCCTGCTCCTCATTAACAGTAATGAAATATTAGATAGTATTTTAAACATTTTATATATTACATAACATATATTATCTGTACAGATATTTGACTCAGCTAGATCAGTTTTGTTATAGCGTAGAATGAAGGTACAAACATATAGAAGAGCTTCCTGTTTCAGGATGTCAGAGTGAAACCTATACCTATGGTTCATGGTATAAATTCTAAGTCTCTTCCCCCTGCCTTGAAAGTCAATGGATATTTGGTCAACTTTTGGCTGACCTTGAGAGGCACCTGAGGTATGTTGTCATAAAAATTCTCCCTTAATCTGGAGGTTCTTGCCTCATCAGGTTCGTTCCTTACAACACATCTCTCTGATAGTCAGAAACAGCGAGCATAATGATATGGCACACTGGGACAGGTTACCAACTATGAATAGAGGTGGAAGAAGTCACTTGTTGAAGCCACTGGGACAAGATACAGTGTCTAGAGAACCAATCTGAGCCAACTTAATTACTTCTATTTTAGATCTGAGAATATATTTAGATCTACCTAATGAATTTATTGGGAATGTATATTTTGGAATATTATGGTCAACTCATCTTAAACCATGCAGAAAATTTATTTTCTGTAAACCTTCCCCTTCTTCTGTGCTTCTGCTCCAGTTATCTGCTTCTTCACAAATACTGGGCTTGGGGAATCCTCCCTATTTTTCCTCCCTCTGCTGTCACACCCCCTCTCCCCAAATTAACTATTAGGTACTTACATTCCCAGACATTTTGTCAAGTTCACTCATGGCCTCATGGATAGCAGCTTCTAAATGGTTATTTAGCTTCCCACTTCTAAGATGAAAATAGAGGAATAATTTACAGTAATGCTGTAGCTTTTCAATAGAATATATTTTTAAAAAATAAGTATTGCAACTTCAAGTTAACATTCATATGTTTTCAGTTTAATGTGCACACACACAAAGACATCTAGGTAGTCTTCAGATTATGACCATTCATTCAAGAACTGTTGACGGCACTGCACAATTGCTACTTACTGTACAACTGGTCCTTGGAGTTCTGACCATTGCAGTGTCCTAGCAATCATGTCATTGCAATTTGGTGTTTGTAACCTGGTTTGGGATTATGCTGCATTGAGTTGCCATCCTGTGATTGTGATTTCCAATGCTACCTGCTGGTTCCCAAAGTAAAGGCAAAGTCTGTCATCTATCTATCTCTCTACCTATCTATTATCTATCTATCTATCTATCTATCTATCTATCTATCTATCTATCTAATCTAATCTAATCTATCATCTATCCATCCATTCGTCCACACACATCCACATGTATATATCTGACACATGTTGATGTATCAGTAGAATGTTAATAATTGATCAAAACCAGCAAGGTATATTTGAAAAAAGCTTTATAGGAAATGAAAGGAATTAAGAATATTATTAGGAAAAATAATTAATGACTTAAAGATTTGAAAGAAAGAAAAGGCATAAATTTGAAAGCAGTTGGTTAGAGCTTTTTAAATATTATATTTAAAAAGAAATTTTATATACATAGTCTAAAATTATAGGTGTACAGAATTTTATAAAAAATAATAAAATAGTTGAAGATGCACTGATAAAATTGTGGGATCTCAGAATCTCGAAATATAGGATTTAAGTGCAGTAAAATTGTGGGGGAAACAGAAGTTTATGTCCTTGGAGTCTTATTATATATCAACAATAGAACAAAAAGGAAGATGAATATTTTAACAAGACAAGTGAATATAATGATAATTTGCATACATGTGGTTTTTTCCTACTTAATAATTAACCATGTAGATGGAAAATTTGTGATAAAAATAGTGAACTAAATCGTTTATTCAAAACAAGTTACTCCTCTTCAGGATTATAGAGCTGAAAGACCTTCCAGAATATTATAGATTTCTGAAATGGGTGCTGAATGTGATCAGCTTGTGCATAAACCAAGTAGCAACATAAATAGCAGCTCCGTTCAATGTGCACAACCCAAGATGGGACAAGAGATGAGCAGTCTCTCCCTTCTCCTAGTTGTGTAACTCTAGGGGAAAAGATAGTCTACATATTTTCTCTCTGCAGAAGGAGGCCTTTCTTGAACATATGAATGCTTCTATTTGAACTGGATGTCTCCTTTAGAAGAGTTTCACTCAAGTGAAATCTGTTTAATAGTATAATTCAGTAAGAGGACAGAAAATGTGGTCATTTTGGTAAGGAATTTCAATTCTAAATTCAGTCTGAGACCTAACACACATCAAAAAAACATAACAACCATACCAAGGTTTTAAATATGTTTCCAAAATGGTTACAGTATTCTATTTTTAATAACTACATGAACACTACAGTATTTAGGACAAAAAGATGTTTACTTTCTCAGCTGCAAATTACTTTTTATTTTTAAAAGAGTACTACACATAACATCTGTTTGTGCAAAGATTTTCAAATACTTTCTTCCCTCCGAACATCTATCAAATCTGCCTCAGAAAGTTAACAATAGATCACAAAGAAGTTGTATGCATTTTATTAACACATGCAGCTATATAGAACTATAAACTGTTAAGATTATGTCATTTAGCATCTGTAGATTAGGAATTATCCAGAGAGAAGTCATGATTTAAAACTCATATTTTTAAAAATATTCTTAAATTTTAAGGTACAGAAATAATAACAGAAATAATATGTTAATTCTAATGGATAATAGAAATCAAATATAATTTCAGTCCAGTATCACAATAAAATGTTGATTTAATGGACTATTTGGGTGGGATGGGTACCCATTAATCCTAGATATCTGTTAAACTTGGAAGAGATTGTACATTTTTGCACGCATAACAAAATGGATTAGGATTCTTTCTTTCAAACTGATGGCATTTGGCTGTAGCTGCCATCTTATTCTATTCATATTACTTACTTACAAACACACACACAAACAGTTGAGAGAGAGTAGTCGACCTAAAGTCAAATATACAGTCTTGTGAAAAAGCCAGCTTTCATACGCGACTAGAACTCACAGTCTCCTGGTTTCTAGGCCAGTACCTTAACCAGCACCCATCACACCAAACCAGCTCCAAATATATTTGATAAGCTTTCTAGAGAATTTTTAAAAATGATAAAATACCCAGAATCCTTAAATATCTATATGTTCAGAAATAACAAATATATGACGAACATACAGGTGCAAAAGGAAGAGATTTGTTCATATAACATGAAATCCAATTAAGAATAATGGATGAGAAAGGACTTATATATACTGTTCGTTTCTACCGCTGCATTTAGAAATCCAGTGTTTTAACTTTATTTAATCTACTGAATAATAATTACTATTTCCGTATATGCAGGAATTAACTTTAACTCATCATTGTCTCTTTTCACATAATGGGAATATATTAAAATATGTCTGGCTATAATTCCAATCCAATTGCAAGTATTTCTGGGGATTTTTGTGTGTGAAATCAAATTGTTAACATTTGCGTGCTTTTGCACCTCAATTAACGTGCATTAATTCTCTCCATGGGCTATTTTGCCTCAAATAACTGAATTCATTCTGAATTCATGGATGTAAACTTTAGTACCTTGGGATTTGCCTTGAGGAGGCCATGTCTTCCTGGTTTGAATTCCCATTCTGAATTGGACTGCAACTGGTGTCATAAGACTACAGCAAGCACCAATTCAACAAAGCACATTGAGTGTGATTGAGACCTTAGCTTTAATTGAAATGCTGTATCTACGACTTCCCCACACAGCACTAGAAAAAAGGGAAAGACTATTTCTATTGTTAAGAATTTTATCTGTTACATGAAGGTATTTTGGGGGGACATTTATGACTTGACTTCTGCGCTCCCACCCCCGTATCTGAATTGACAAAAGGCTGAAGATATTGAACTAAATTGGAAATAAACAATACTGTAGCGCCAGTTGAAAAATAGGAGTTTATCAAAATTCATCTCACAATAACTGATAAATTTGGTAAAACTTTCAGCTTTGTTACTACAGATTAGTAATGTTTTTTTTTAAATTTCAGGACCCATTCCCAAGGTTTATGCAAAGACCTTTTTTTTCCTATGAGTTTTACCTTTATTGATATTTACTGTGTGAAAAATTAAAATTGATACATTCACTGTTGCTACTGCTTCTCATAATTGTTTGATTGGATTTTAATATTGTACTATTTTTCAGCATAGGCTGACAAAATAATTTTGATTTTGCAGAGTCCTTAGAGAAGGCGGCCCGCAGGCTGGATGCATCACGCGCAGGCTACGTCCACCCCGGCTCCGCAAAGGCAAAAAAGTCACCATTCATCTCGTGATGTGATTGAGTTTGATACCCGTGCCTTAGAGGGTTTTAGGACCATTTTAAGAAATATTGCTATAGATAATCATTATACTGTATTCACTTTTTGATGTAGAACTAGATTAATAATTATACTTTATTTATTCTATTTCAGTTTTTATTTTTGTTATTATTAATGCTGTATTTATTTAGTATTACATACTTATCTTGATTTGGATTGGCTCTTTTTTTTTTTTTGGATGCTGCTGTTGAAGAACTATAAATTGCATCAAAGCAAATGTTTCATCTGTGTCCAGTACTGATCAGAATTAAATGTCATGAATAAAGGCAAATACACATATCCCAGGATAATGTTGCAAGCTCGAATCTGGGTCAGTCACTGGGACCAGAGGTTTACTCTTCAGAGCTTTTGGACTCATGCTGGACCCATCCTCCGGGAACTTCTCTCTACTGGAATATGTGCTTTGGGCTATTCTGTAAATTGTATTTATGTGGTGCCTATATTTACGTAGGACAGATGGGGAGATTATTTGTAGTGTGATTCAATTTTGCAACAGGTTTCTATTCTAAATTGCATACTAACAAACTTTCAGATTACCTGATTATATTGGCTTCTGATAAATGTAACATCAAATGCTTTTATTGAACAGCCTTTACAGTAGGAGAAGAAAAATAATTTGGTACAGCAATTAATTATCGGGGGGGGGGGGGAAAGAAAACAACAAGACCATAAAACAACATATCTAATTAAAAGTTTAATGCAAACATAGACAGGATTGCAAATTTTTAATCTGTTATATATCATTAACTATAGGAGCAATAATTTTAAATGAAATTATTGGTATGACTGGTGGTTACAGTTGGAAAATCTTTAAGCATGTACAAATTGAAAGTCTGACTTACTTATATCCTCAACTATAATTAGAACTTTTGTTGTTAATAAAATAGAGTGGCTATTTTCTTTGCCATCTATGGAGATACCTACATGGCACAACTATCCCTCAGGTCATAAACTTTTATGTATTTTGCCTGGCCTGAGAGGTTAAGTGTCCCCTTATGGGAATCTTAAGCGTTGTCTAATGTCTCTCTAATAAAAATCTAAAATAAAACCAAAACAGCAAGTAAGACATGATTGATCACTTGACCTAGCTAATCTATCAGAGATATTTCTTTTTTCTTGTGTTGTCATTGTCCCATGTGGCAGGGGACTGCGTGTAATTGAGTTATGGGCTTACAATACAACACAGGGAGACATCAGAACAGTAAATAACTCAAATTCAAATGGAGTAGAAAACTTTAAACAAAGCTAAAATAGGCTCATTGTATTTGCAAGGTACTACTAGCAAGAAAAGATGAATTGCATGAACAACTATGCGGTGTTTTGGCAAAGGCAGAATTTCCCTTCTGTCCTTTAAGTAGAGACCCAGTTTGGTGTAGTGGTTAAAGTGCTGGACTTGAAACTAGAAGACTGAGAGTTCTAGTCTCCTGGGTGACTTTGAGCCAATCACTCTGTCTCAGCCCAACACACCTCATAGGATGATTATTGCAGGAAAAATAGGTGGAGGAAGAAAGTATTAGGAATGCTCACCACCTTGAGTTACTCATAAAGTAATACAGGTGGGATAAAAATCTAATACAACTGGAAATATGCTGAGTAGGCAAAAGAAAAACTGCCAATATTGTTTACTCCTTATTTGTTTGCAGGACTATATATATTCAAAAATGTTTGAGCTTGTAATAGCAGTAATAGTAACAGTAGTAGTAATAGTAGTAGTTCTTCATAGATAGGATGTTAAATGTTTGCAAAGGGTAATTGTGCTGAGCTAAACTCCAGTGGGGATAATTGCTTCCTCCTTTGTCTCCTGTGCCCTCTCCACCATTCACTCATTTAATTGCTCACCTGCTCATTGCTTTTCAATCTGTTAAGGTATATCACTTTTCCTCTTTACAAGCTGCACTAGGCAGTCTTTATTCAGTGATGTAATTACAGATGGGACAGACTAATCAGCTTGTAAGTTTGCCAGAGGCCACGTTCATTTTATAATCTTAGAAAAATGGATTGCCTTGGCTCAAAATAAGGGCTTGGCCGATGGCCAATATTTGGGGTTAGGAATTATTGGCTAGTGACAATATGGGATGGGGGGAGGGAGCGGATTAGAGGAAGGGATTGGGGAGGCGGCAGCAGAGGCAATCATTTATACTATCTCCTCCTCCTCTTCCTCCATTTTTGCAAAGTTCATATCAGCTACTTCTCAGTAGCCGGACCTTTCTTGGCAAGAGAAGAAAGAAAAGTGTGAAGTGTACCCATTGGGTATAAAGAAAGGAGAACGCAATAGAAGCCTGTTGCCTCTTGGGGACTGAAACAGCTTTTAGGAGAAACATTTCCGTTGATGTGTGTGTGTCTCAGTGGTAGCGAAGCCACATGACTTTGAGACAATGTGGTTTGGATTTCCTTAAATTCAGCATTTCAATTTTTTTATGTGTATGTGATGGGATAGAATTTATTCCCGTGAGAAGAATTTGACTTCCAACATTCGTATAGCGTAGCAAATATTTCAAATGCTTCATTACCTGTAGGGCATCAAGACTGAGAAGCTAATTTTAAGTTCTCTTACAGGGATCTTGTGATATCTAAAATGGCTAATAATAAACAGCTTCTTTGCCTCTGGTGAATCTTGCACTGGAGACTATATATGATTTAAAGGGCATCATTTACCATATCTATTTATTTTATCCTCATATTGCCTCTTATTGAGATGGTTTAAATGAGAGGTTTTTGAAACTATTTCGAAATCTGTAAAATCTATTTAACAGATTTAAATGAGTGAATATGTATACCGGTATATATTCTTTTTGTTTACTAACAAATTCTCCACAAAGTGATTCTTGGTTATCAAGCTGAAGCACCTGATTGTGCTGAGGAGATTGTTTCTACATCTTGATTGAAAAGATGGAAACTTCAAATTAAACATCTTCATAATTGGGATAGAATCGCTTGAGGGGTTGCCTGGAGTTTTGGTGGAGGAGTGGATGATCTGGAGATGTTTAAATAGACTATGCACTAGTATGGCTAGAACAAAATACCATATGGAAAAATGGGGGATTCTCCCACTTACTGTGAATAAGGCACTATTCACTCTTTTACAGTGCCCCCTGGGACCGACATGCACACAGAATGACTTACTAGTCGGAAATATCCCTGCTGTCAATGTAGGATGGCATTGGGCTGGAACTATATAAATTTATGTTTTTTTATTAAAGTTTTTAATCTGCACCTCTATAACTGTCTGGTTTGGTTCTACAACCCAACAAGACAGACACAGACTTCAGAGGATAATTAGAACTGCAGAAAAAACTATTACTACTAACCTGCCTTCCATTGAGGACCTGTATACTGCACGAGTCAAAAAGGGGACTGTGAAAATATTTACAGACCCCCTCACATCCTGGACATAAACTGTTTCAACTCCTACCCTCAAAACGACGCTATAGAGCACTGCACACCAGAACAACTAGACACAAGAACAGTTTTTTCCCGAACACCATCACTCTGCTAAACAAATAATTCTTTCAACATTGTCAAACCAGTTACTAAGTCTGCATTACTATTAATCTTCTCATCGTTCCTATCACCTATCTCCTCCCACTAATGACTGTATGACTGTAACCTTGTTGCTGGTATCCTTGCGATTTATATTGATATTGTTTCCTGATTGCTTATTTGTAACCTATGATATCATTAAGTGTTGTATCTTATGTTTCTTGACGAATGAATCTTTTCTTTTATGTACACTGAGAGCGTATTTCTTGGGTGTCCAATCACACTTGGCCAATAAAGAATTCTATTCTATTCTGTTCTGTTCTGTTCTGTTCTGTTCTGTTCTGTTCTGTTCTGTTCTATTCTATTCAAATTTAAGTTGGTAATTTCCCCCTTTTTAGTATGTCTTACACGAGATGAGATAAACACTTGAAATTACCAAGATTTACAGGATACTTACTTTCTATTCCGTTTTCGGACATGGTTGTAGGCTTCCAGACCTTCTGTTAGTGTTTTCAACTTGTCAGGTTCCACCTGAGAGAAGGTATGAACAACAAATTACATTACCTAGACATTCAATTATTCCAGAGTTAAGCTCAGCTTCAAGAGATCACAGTAATACCACCAACTTCACAGACATAATACAAAGAAATACATGAATTTATATTTCAACTTCGTGAAAAGCTAAAGATGGAAACTTCAAGTTAAACATCTTCATAATTGGATAGCACTGCTTGAGGAGTTGCCTGGAGGTTCGGAGGAGGAGTGGATGGTCTGGAGATGTTTAAATAGACTATGCACTAGTTTTTCGGGGTTCTTCAAAATAAAAATTACAGTATTTTTCGGAGTATAAGACACACTGGAGTATAAGACGCACCTACCTTTTTTGGTGAGGAAAAGAAGAAAAAGAAATCTCCCTCTGCCTCTGAGCAATTTTGCCTGGTTGCAGTAAACAGCCAACAGCCTGCTTTGCTTTCATTTTCAAATAATCAAGCATAGCTTGATTAGCACAAGGAGAAAAAAAATCTGCTCCAGCAATATACCTCTTTGCAGAAAGCAGCAGAGCCTGTGCAAAACAGCTGAGAGCAAATCAGATGAGAGTCGGGAGGCCGATCCAATCAACTTGTGCTAATTAGGCTGTACTGAAGCTGAAAGGAGCTGTTTTTTCTTGCTGTTTGCTTGCAAGGAGGTAACTGCTGCAAGGCAGAGACCAAAGGGTTGGGGCCAGTGGGTGGGCGGGGCTACATTCGATGTATAAGACACACCTAAATTTCCACCTTTTAGGGTGGAAAAAGGTGTGTCTTATACTCCAAAAAATACGGTACTTTGTTTACTTCAAAATAAAAATTACACCACCTTTACTAAGCTGATCCATAAAACATAATCTAATTGTCATTGCATGAAAAAAAAATAATATCTCTAACTCCTTACCAAATTGTTTATGAGATCTTAAGCATTTCAAGGTGAATATTGAAAACATACACAATGAATAGGAATATACATAGTCCTTGATTTACAATCCCATTTGGGATTGGAACTTCTGTTGCTAAGCGTGACCGCACCCGATTTTAT